GCTTTTGGACTTGTGGTAATGTTTCTTTCCTTTATGCTTTGACAAACTTGGACACTCCTTTTTGTAGTGACCAATTTTTCCGCATTCGAAACATGTGCCTTATTTTTCTTCTTTCTTCTTATCATCTCATTTCTTTGAGTGATTTGATTTTCTAAACTTCATTAAGTTTTTATCCGAGTGTTTTAGACCATTTCTCCTCATATACTTGTTGTAGTGCCTTGCAAACAATCTCATTTCTTCGTCTTGCGAAGAGTCACTCGAGTCCTCATTATCTACCTCTAAATTGACCTTGGAAGTGGAGGCTTTTAGGGAGATGTTCTTCTTCTCTTCTTTGTTTTTATCCTTGCGCTTAGTGTTACTTTCACTTGCTTCAAGTCTCTTTAATTCATGCTCATGTTCGGTGAGCTTACCAAATAAGGTTGACATGTCTAAAGTTTTTAGGTCATGCGATTCTTTGAAAGCCGTTACTTTTGGCTGCCATTCCCTGTACATAGACCTCAAAATCTTATTATCACAATCTTCATTAGAAGTGGTCTTACCCAAATTCTCAATTTTATTGATTATATGGGAAAATATCATCTGCATGGAGGCCACAGTTTCACCGGGTTCCATGCGAAAGAATTCAAATTCCTCTATTAGAGTATTGATTTTAGATTGTTTAACATCTTCAGTTCCCTGATAGAGAACCTTAAGAGTGTTCCACATTTCCTTAGCCGTCTTACAATGTAAAATTGAAAAATTCACGTTCATGCTCAATGATGAGATGAGTATATTTCCCGCTTTCAAGTCATAAGACGCCTTTTTAGTTTTGGCCTCATTCCAATCCTTAGGTGGTTTTATAGTTGGTACGCCATCAACGTTTTCTTAAGGAACATAGGGTTCGTCCTTGGTGGCTAACCAATATTGTACATCACGGACATAAGGTGTACGCACATACAATCCTTCCAATATGCATATTTTTCACTGGTGAAAATCGGGGCTCTATTATACGCTCCCTTCAAATCAATTTGCCCCATATTCAATCAACTTTTGAGGTTGTTAAACCTTATCAAAAGAACCAGCTTCAGATGCCAATTGTTGGTTTAAATATGGAGTAACTTGTCTGGAAGGGGGGGGGGGGTTGAATAGACAATTAAAAAATCCATTCGTTTCAAAAAATCAGATTACGCAAGCGGAACCGGATATGGTGAAATTTTTTTTTGAAAAGTTTTTATGATATTGGAAGAGAATTTGTGCTATACTTACACCAAAGGTTTTTAATGAGGTAGAATACAATTAATTTATTAATGGTTAAAGTTTCAATGAGATGCTTAAAGACTTTAACAATTCTTCAATTTTAAAGGCAATTCTAAATTCAATGTTCTTACAATAATCAATTAACCGGATCCTTTAGAAGAACAAATCTAATCAAACCTAAACTTTTAGAAATCAAAACTATGAATACAATGAATCTAAACAGGTACCCAAGCATGCAATTTTAAACGATAAAGAGATAGGGAGAGAAGGAGAGAGTGCACCAGAATATATACTAGTTCGGTGTTATTGTCTTCGTAGGCACCTACATCTAGTCTTCGATGGAGAACCGTCAAAGAGTTATTTCTTCCATTAAAACGATATAGAATTTTTGTTCTTGTTACAACAATTCACAAAAGCAAAAGATAAACTTTAACAATCCAAGTTATTTTTTTCCTTGCTTCTTGTACGAACTTGCTTGTAACTAGCTACCACCGCTAACTTGATCTTTACCCAAGATCTTGATTTTCAACTTTTGATGAATTCCTATCTTGACGAATTTCTCAATTTTCACCTAATCTTGAAATTCCAAGACTTAAATCCTTCTCTTCAACAAGTTGACAAATCTATAGAAAAACTCCGCAACAATGGAGAAAAGCTTCTTCTTCTTTTTCCTTCAAGAAATTTCAACCCTTGAAATTTCCAAGACCAAAATACCTTTTGCAAAATCTGCACACTTCAATGAACAATTAGATCCCTAATGTTTCCTTGAAATTAATCATCACACATACACAAGAGAATAATTTCCATGGGTATGATTAATGAAGATTTAGAAGAGAGAAGGAAGTTGTGTTTGCAAAGGTTTTCTCACAGAATATTTTTATCTCACTCTTGAAATGAGTAAATGAAATCCCTATTTATAGGTGCAAGAGAAAAATGCACAATTTATGAGTTAAAATAAACTGCGTGAGTTGATTCATAAATTCCCATGACTCAATTTAGTTAGGGCAGTTGACTTGAGTCAACACCAAAATCAAATCAATTCAAATTAGCATCCTGACACAAGTCGTGACCCTTACTGAATCAATTTAATTTGGAATTTCCAAGTCTATGACTCAATCCAAAACTACTTCTATGACACAAAAATAGAATCTAAATGAACTTTTGAGGCACTTTCATGAATCAATTCGTGAGGGCCTTGACTCGAGTCAGGGAACAGAAACTTTAAATTAATTTAGGGAAGGCCACTGAATCAATTCCCACAGCTAAGACACAAAGTCAACTTAATAAACGCATGGATAAAATACTCTAGCATGTGTTTAATGATTAATAACTAAGGGAACTCAAATTAAACGATAACATAAGCAAAGCATCAAAAAAGCGAAATAACCGATATATGGATCATTAATTTCATGAATGTCGTAGGATTGTTGTGCAGGTTTATGAGTAGACCGAGTAACGAGCACTGACAAGCTATTGAGCGAGTCATGAGGTACCTTAAAAGGACCTTGGATCTCAGCCTACATTATCAGAAATTTCCTATTGTACTATAAAGGTACAGTGATACTAATTAGAACACCTTATCGGATAATCCAAAACTATTAGTAGCTATATATTTAGTATAACTTGAAGAGTTGTATCTTAGAAATCAAAGAAACAGATTATCCTGGCTCAGTCCACAATGGAGTATGAGATGATAGCACTAGCCACAACTAGTGAAGAATCAAGTTGGTTAAGATGCTTGCTAGTAGATGTCCTTCTATGGGAAAAACCTATGCCATTTGTGTTGATCAACTGAGATAGTACCACGACTATTGCAAAAATTGAGAACCGTTAGTATAACGGTAAGTGACGTCAAATAAGAAGGAAACACAACACTATTAGAGACTGTATCTTTAAAGGAGTTGTAAGAGTGGATCATGTATACATTAATGAAAATTTTAGCAGATCCTTTGACGAAAGGATTAGCTAGAGAGGAAGTCTATAATACATAGAATAAGATGATACTAATGCCTATAAAGAAATGAGTTTCTCATGATGGTAACCCAACCTAGATGATTGAAGATCCCAAGAAATAGGTTCAATGGGTAATAAAAAGTTGTGAGTAATATGAGGTGATCATGCTAGAGTAAACAAGAGAAGCATGAATCCTAAAGCGATAAGAGGATGAGATGATAGAAACTCTCAATGAGATATATATCTGTATGAGGGAGTACCTATGCTACAAGAGTACTCTTGATAGACTCACCTATGTGATTGTGGAACTTAGGTCATTTCCTACGGGCTATTAGAATACACCTTAAGAAAAGGTTGTGTGCGGGTTTGATGTTTGAGATAGAGTTCAAGACAATTGTGTCACTCTTGTTGAATCAGAATCCTTCTTGCTACGCAAGGGTTCAAGTCGTAGACACCTTTGTTTATGCACAATCTTATAAACGTTTAACGTTACTTCTGAAACACTTTTTTAAATTCTAGTGGGGGATTGTTGGAACATTATGTCAATATTCTAATATAGGGAGATGAATTTGAAAAAGTTTTTTAAGTCAAGTCCTACATTGTGTGTTAGTTGAAAAAACTTCTTAGTCCCACATTGCTTATGTAAGATATATTTCCTTCCTCACTTCATTGTATAAGGAAATTCTCTATTTCATTCCAAAACACACCAAAAAACTTATTGAGTTTTTTCCTTCCTCACTCTCATAACTCTGCGTCTTTTGAATTGTCGAAGCGCCAACTTCTTGCCCTTTCTTTCTACTCGTTGAATTTTTCAAGTATTTTCTTGAATTCTGTTTAGAGAATTATGTTAATTTCTCCTCATTTGAGTTGAGAAATTATCAAGTATAATTTTTTGGATTCTCTTTAGAGAATTATTCGAATTTCTCGTTTGAGAAATCAATTTTAGTGGTCAAATGACTATTATTGAATTCTCTTTGAAGAATTATTGGAATTTCTCTTGGTTTGAGAAATTATTATGACTGGTCGTTATACCAGATACTATGAGTGGTGTTTATACCATACTCAAATGGTCTTTGTACCATCAGAAGGTGTATTTCTAGACCGATTATCTACCGCGCAAGTAGTAATTATAAAGTATAATTCTGGAGGCGGTACGGTATAATCCTCTTTTCTATAAAAAGTATTAATAAATTTACTTTAATTAATAAAAATTTCCTTTTTCTAAGAAAAAAATATTTTTGATAAATGATTGAATTGCCATTCTATCAAAAGTTATTTGACATTTATAGAGTAAAAAGTAATGAAATTTTAAGAAAAATAGATTCTTAGAATTCAAGTTTTTCCCAAGGCCAACTTTTAAAAAAAAATTATTCTTGAAAGTTACTATTTCAAATATATCTCCTATTTTTTCCACATTTTTATGTTTTTAGTGATTTTTAAGATAAAAAATATAAGATTCACACACATTTAAATATTTTCCTTAAAGAATGAGTTGTTTTGTAAAGTTGTTTATAGGAGGAGGAAGCATATATTTGCGACAATAAATAGTTGCACACTGTAGGAGTCTTTTTTTGTAACGTGGAAAGAGAAAACGATGAGATCATAAAGCATCCAGCAGAAACAAAGACAACGACAACAAAGCGTCCACCCACCGAACAACTCTCGTGTCCCCACCAAACACTCCTCATCATCTCAAACGCTGTCGTTTAAACCCATTTCACAAATTAAAAACTCCCCCAACCCCAACAAACCTAAACAATTGTAAATTTCATTCCCAACAAACAGGGCTGCACCACACCACACCGCACCGTATGACCAACCTCGCCGTCCCCCTCCTCCTCCTAACGGCGGCGCTAACCGTCTCCTCCGCACCAACCGCCTACGAAGCCCTACGAAACTTCAATTTCCCAGAGGGAATTCTCCCACAAGGCGTAACCGGTTACAAACTCAACGAATCAAGTGGCAATTTCCGCGCCGATCTGAACGGTTCGTGCAGATTCTCCTTACAAGGCTCCTATCAATTGCGTTACAATTCAACGATCACCGGCCACATAACTGATAACAAACTTACAGATCTCAGGGGTATAAGCGTCAAAGTGCTATTCTTCTGGGTCAACATACTTGAAGTTGCTAGAAAAGGCGATGACCTTGATTTCTCTGTTGGAGTCGCAACTGCTTCTTTTCCGTTAGATAGTTTCTTTGTTTCTCCACAGTGCGGTTGCGGTTTGGATTGTGATACTTTAAGAATAAGGAAACTTAAATTGAATACAAAAAACCCTTCTCTTTCATCTGCTTAGATTAGAACCATAATTTAGGTGCATAATGTATAATAAAATCATTGTGTATGTATGTATTGTTTTTTAATTAGTAAATCTAGATTGGTAGGGGATTATGGTTATTAATCCTGTTTTTATAAATATATATTTGAGTTTAAATTGTGCTAAATATCATGTGTATTTGAATTGAATATTTAAATGTAATGGTTAAGTGATAGTAAAATTTAAAAATGTTGGTTAATTGTGTTTATGAATGATTATTAAATTGTGATTCTTGTTATATGTATTGATGGAATATAATTAACCATATATGAAGTAACATTTTTGGTTGAAACCTTGTTGAAAATTTTAATGGCAAATTTGTGCATATGGCGAATACTTTATTTTTTATTAAAGTGCTCCAATAATAGAGGAATCTGTGACTGGAATTACACTAAATTTGTGACATCATCATATTATTTACTCTTTATGAACAAAGAATGAATATGGATTTTTTTTCTCCCTAAAAGTAGGGTTGCTATACTAATGAATCGAACAAAATCATAATAAATTTTTATTCGAACTGAATCAAACTAAATCATAATAAAATTTTATTCGAACTGAATCGAACTATTTTAATTTATTTAGAACTGAATTAAACTAAAGTTATTGGTTTGGTATATCGTTTAGAAATTTTAAATTATACCGAACCGTAAGAAGATAACTTTTTAAAATCGAACCATTTATTAAAGAACCGAGCAATTAAATTATTTTTCAAAATTTCAAAATAATAAAAATAAAAATTTGTTTTTAATATTTTTAATTTTCAATTTTGTTTCGATTTGACTTCAGTTTTAATTAGTATGGTTCTAAAATATTTTGTGTAATATAATTTGATTCACTAATCAAATATAACGGTTGAACTATTTTAACTTTAGTTTTATAATTCAATTTGTTTTATGAAATTTTTTAACAACGCTAGCCGAAAGGACATATTTGTTTGAACTTTACTACTAGGATTTGATAAACTTTAACTTGGAATGTCGGCAGGCTAATAAAAGATAAAGGAAAATTATAGAAAAGTACCATAGAAAATAAAATATTTTGTGTAATATAATTTGATTCACTAATCAAATATAACGGTTAAACTATTTTAACTTTAGTTTTATAATTCGATTTGCTTTATGAAATTTTTTAACAACGCTAGCCGAAAGGACATATTTGTTTGAACTTTACTACTAGGATTTGATAAACTTTAACTTGGAATGTCGGCAGGCTAATAAAAGATAAAGGAAAATTATAGAAAAGTACCATAGAAAATAAAATATTTTGTGTAATATAATTTGATTCACTAATCAAATATAACGGTTAAACTATTTTAACTTTAGTTTTATAATTCGATTTGCTTTATGAAATTTTTTAACAACGCTAGCCGAAAGGACATATTTGTTTGAACTTTACTACTAGGATTTGATAAACTTTAACTTGGAATGTCGGCAGGCTAATAAAAGATAAAGGAAAATCATAGAAAAGTACCATAGAAAACCAAATATTTGGAAATAATAGAAAAGATGAATTACAAATCCTATATTTTTTAGTATCCAAAAACATTTATAATGTTTGGATAAGACATTTTACTATTCACCGAGGAAATTAAACCTATAAAAAAAAACATTTTACTATTCTACCGACGAAATGGAAACTTTTTTATAAGTGTTAAATTGGATATTATAATTGATCTCACCTGATCAGAAAAAAATTAGCAATCTGTCACGCGTCGTGAGCTCCTGTGTTTACCTGTGTTGTAGAGGAGGAGGAGATGTACCTACAAGATATTTTGATGCTTACGTGAGTAACGGAGTTTAGAGAGAGAGAGAGAGAGAGAGAGATAGAGCAAATATAGAGAGAATAGGTGTAGAGAATGGAATACCTGATCCTCTAGTGAAAGAGGGTATTTATAATGTGCCCTCAGCGCAGGGCCAACGATTACTTTGTATTAGGTCGGATAATGCGAGTAACTGTCAGGGCTTACGTGGCGTAAGGAAGACCATCACGTGGTATTCGCCCTGGATCAACTGTCTCGTGATCTTCGGAAGGTGGGTTGACCAGTTCTTTCGAAACTGGGTAGTTGTCTGATGACGTGTCCCCGCGTGGAGGACACGTGGAAAACGTGGAGAAAGCGTGTGGGCTCTCCTCGCGCTAAGTAGTGCTCTACCCGACAGAAGGGTCTTGTTGAGAGGCGTGCTCGACATGGGAGGATTGAGCCTTGTTAGGTCTCCCCAACGTAATATTGGGTTGGGTCTGCTCGACTTAGGGGCAGGTATCGGCCTAGTCCAGAATATGAGCCCCCTAAAACGTTACTCTTAAGTGTAAGAGTAGTGACTTAAGAGCGAGTTAGGGTGTCGAGGACCAGTCCCGAGGATGGTGGCTTGCCCGATATACAGAGTTTAGGATTGTATGCGCGATCAGGAGTGACAAATGCTCGACGAGGTAGTATGTCGAGGAGGTGGAAAAGCAAATGCACGAGGAGAAGTTGGAGGGACGCTCGTGGTGTCCCCTAGTGCCACGTGTCGCGTGTAATTAAAGCCTATGAGCGGCTACGCGTAGGGGAACTTGAGTGCCTAGTGTTGCCTCGCTTCCCGTGTCAGGCTTATAAATAGGGGGGAAGCCCTTCTCACTTCCACATTCGCTCCTCAAACCTACCGTAATCCTCTCCAAGCTTTTATCGCCATCGTCGCCATTTCCGTTGCCGTCACCGATCTCTGTCGTCCAGATCCTCCTCTCACAAGTAAGTTTCCACCTCCTCTGTGTAGTTTTATGAGTTTTTCGGTGAATCTATGAATTTTCCGGTGTGTGTCTCGTGAAGTTTTCGACCAAGGTATGAAGTTTCCGGCGAGGACGCCGAGAACTTCATGGGGATTTCAGGATTCTCATAAAAATGTTGATGAATGTCCCGGGTAGCTAGGATGAATGCCTTGAGAAGCTTAGCTCCTCGCAAGTGGGTGGCTGTCGCGGGGAGGCTCACTTAGGATCTCCCCGCGCGTGTCGGGGTCACCTCGATTGGGGAGCCTCGCTGTCGGGGAGGCTTGCCGCAAAGAGTTGTCGTCGGTTTTCTTCTAGGAGGAGCATTCGCCGGGGGGGGGGGGGGGGGAGGGCTATTGTAACACCCCCTTCTATACCCCAAATAAGTACATATAAAACGATTAAGCACATACAAATTATCAGAGTAAAAAGGTTTTATAATAAGGTATAAAAGAAGAATGCCACAATTTCACCAATAAAACACTTTCACATTTTTCTCCATAAGATATGTAACATTTTCAAAATTAAGCGGAAGATCAAATCATTTAATCGTTTTCAAAATATTAACCCATGTACACACAAGCTAATCCAAATTAATACATCATATCAGTTAGATTACAAAACCACATCAGCTGATACATCACAATGTATCACAAAAGAATGACTATACTAGTCTAACTACCCGGTGTTACATATCAGAGCAGCCGACTCAAAAGAATGAAGACTAACTTTACAAAAGGACTCCAGCATCCTAATCTGCAATGCCTCATAGAGCATTATAAAATAGCAGAAGGGTGAGAAATATAACCATAATAATCAAAGCATAAGATTATATATATATATATAGGTAATCATGTAACACATATTCACATTTCTCACCACACTTCATTCTCTTAGTCATATATATTTACTACACATGTATATATACACTTACAATTTCCACAATCTCATCATTCACACATAAGCATCACTTCATGCATATGTCATATATCAATGTGACTCAACAACTCAATGCAACTCATGCAATGCGGTACCGACTCTCGTTATCTTTTTTCGGTTTTTACATTAAACCGGGTCCACACTTCTAGACCGATAACCCGTTATCTTTTTTCGGTTTTTACATTAAACCGGGTCCACACTTCTAGACCGATAACCACAAAGGCCCGTCCTCTAAGCCTTCAAACCCACACTTCTAGGTTTGCGACAAGCCACTAGTTTCCACGAAACTAGCAGACATTGCCTATTGACTAAATGATGCATGTACAATCAACCACAACAAATGCACTTAAGACCGACATCTTAATCTCATGCATTTATATAATTCATCACTTCAAGAATTACACAATGATTGTACATACAACATATATCACACAATCAAGGTATTCACATCACAATACCATTTATACAATTACAAGTCATGCACACATATCCACAATGTTCTCATGCATACTCATCACATAATTGTATACCCATTAAGCATTCGCAAGTTCATTAGACAATACACATACATTCATCATTGTATTCACATGTATTTCTATTTATCACAATTAATACACATCGCACATCAACTAGGATTCACGCCCGTAGGCTACCCATAGCACACATCATCACAATAGATCATATCTATATCATATCATAGAGGTATTAACCTATGAGGAGCAACCAAACCATCTCCACATGAAAAACACAGCAAAAGAAAAATGCTGTCACATTCGCCTTCATTCGCCTGGCGAACCCTCGCAGCGAACCTTCGCCTGGCCTTCGCCTGGCGAACTTCCTCAGCGAACACTCGCTAGGCTTCGCCTGGCGAGACTTCCCAGCGAGCCCAAGTCAGTAGCTACTGACTTCATTCGCCTCCATTCGCCAGCACCTTCGCTGGGCGAACCTTCGCTATCCACCTTCGCTTGGCGAACTCGCCAGCGAAGTCCACTGGGAATTAATCATAATTACTCGCCAGCATTCGCTAGGCTTCGCCTGGCGAGAGCCAGCGAACCTGTGCAGAACAGAACCCTATTTTGTTCCTCCTCCACAATTCACCATCATCCAACTTCTCACAAAACAAAATCAGTACAAACAGCATCAATACATGTTACCCGACTATTCTACGGCATTATTGCTCAGTTTCAACCGATTAAATCACAGTTCTACCGATTATTCCAACTTTTGTCCTAATTGGAAAGTGATGAAAACTCTACCAAAACCCCAACCCAACATACATAACATCATACAATGATCAAATA